CACAAAACCAGTCATAAGGGTCAATTTTGTGAAATTGAGATTTATGCATCATCTGAAAGCTGAATAAATAAGCTCTCCATTGATGGATTGTTTGTTAGGATAGGACAATATTTGGCTGAGATACAACTATTTAAAAATCTGGAATCTCAGGGTGCAAAAAAAAAAAATAAAATATTGAGAAAATTGCCTTTAAAGTTGTCCAAATTAAGTTCTTAGCAATGCATATTACTAATCAAAAATTAAGTTTTGTTATATTTACGGTAGGAAATTTACAACATATCTTCATGGAACATGAATCATGATCTTTACTTAATATCTTAATGATTTTTGGTATAAAAGAAATATTGATCATTTTGACCCATACAATGTATTGTTGGCTATTGCTACAATTATACCCATTCTACTTATGACTGGTTTTGTGCTCCAGGGTCACATTTAATTTAGAATTTAGTGTTTGATAACTTTATTCAATTTCTGTATATTTCCTACTTGCTGAAGGGCACAGGTAAATATGACATTTATTATAATGGGTTTATGTGAAGATTGTTTTAAGTTCACTTAAAATTTAAGTAGTCTAATAAATGTTAAAATTGACAGCTCTTGTAATGTTGAATGGCTATGATCAATGGTTAAATATTAGGAGAAAAAAACTATTTCATAGAGACATCAGTTGAATTGGTATCAGTGATTCTGGCCTTCAGTCATAAAAAAAAGATGCCATTATACAAATATTAAAAATATACTGTCTTTATGTTGTTTCTATATTAATTTAAAGATTGAATATGAAATTATTGCAATGTAAAAGTAATTTTAAAAACTTTAATGTTAGGTGGGATTAATCGCGATTAATTTCAGAAATTGTTTCTAATCGATTGACTTTTTTGCTAAATCGGCTGGTTTTTAGTTGATTTTTGTTTTTTACTGAATCAGCTGGTTTTAGCTGGTTAACTTTTGGGGGTGCTAAATCTGCTGGTTTTAGCTGGTTTTTATCTATCAAACATTCTTGCTTTGAAAACTATTAAACTAAAACAAAATATTTCAAATGTAAAACCTTCAAACTTAAAGTTGTTAAAACTTCAAACTTTCTGCCTAGGCTTTTTCAAACCAAGTTACTTACTTACTTACTCCTCTAGTTAGATTATCATAGCACTTCAGCAAGTAACTTAGCCTGAACTGCTTAATTCACAGACTCTATTAAAACTTCAGCGTTAGGTGTGATGTCTATTTTATTATTAAGAACATAACAGATTTCTGGTTCTAGTATGTGTTATTTCAGTTTGCTCCATACAAAGCAAAATTGTAGATTAAACATGATTTTGATGCAATATTTAAAGCTTTTAAATTGTGTTTTTGTGTGTTCCATCGTGTTAATCTTATTATAGTGGAATGTATTGGTGATCCCGGGCCACCTGGAGAGAGAGGGCAGCCTGGACTTCCAGGGCTAGATGGATTTCCTGGTAATGGATGTATTATTGTAAAATTGTATTATTGTAAAATATCTAGTAATTTTTATTATTGTAAAATATCTAGTAATTAATTTATTTCTGGTTACATTATGGCTGCCCATATTTGTATGTTATAGGACTGCAAGGTGCTAAAGGCTCACCAGGTCTTTTTGGAGAACCTGGAGCCAAAGGAGAGAAAGGTTTAACAGGAAGAGGAGGCCCACCGGGGCCAAGAGGTAAGCATTGGGAGGCCTGTGCGTTTCTTTACATTTTATTTAATCATTCTTATGTATACTTCTGTCTGTCTCCTTTTCTCAGCTCTGATAATTTGATTTCGACTACATAGGTTTTGTTGGACCTCGGGGTGACTTAGGATATCATGGCACCAAAGGTGTGGAAGGAGCTCCAGGCCTTTCTGGTAAACCAGGTTTGGATGGTTTTTTAGGGGAAAAGGGTGAACATGGTGAAGTTTTTGGAGCTTCTCCTGGCGCCGCTGGAGACCCAGGACTGCCTGGACAGAGGGGTGTCATTGGTCTTCCAGGAGATCCAGGACTTCAAGGACACCAAGGTGAGAAACTCACCTGTCAAACCCATAGTGATGGATATATGCTGAATCTATAGAGCCAGCAGTCTTTGTAAAACTTTCAGGCAAGTTTCAAAGTTTGTCTTGGCAAACATTTATTTTCCAGTTTCTTCCTATTGCATATAAGGGTCATAGTTTAAAAAAATGCTTTGAGAGTGTCAGTAAAACAAATACAATCTATGGTCTATTGTTATTATTATTTTATTTGTATTTGATTTTATTTATTTATTTTTTTTTTTGGATATGCGTATTTTTTTCTGTGATTGTAAATCCTATTTAAACATTTATGCCACCACATGCATCTTGCATCTTTATGCCGCTTCTCCACCCAGAAGCTCAGAAGTGACAGTCTGTCTATGATTAAGATGAATCCGTTGTTCTAGAGACTCACTAAAGGATGCAATGTCACACAGGTGTTGAGGGAATGCCGGGTATGATTGGCCTTAAGGGTGAAAGTGGCCCTTCAGGTCTTCAAGGAGAGATAGGAACACCTGGACCTCCAGGAACATTTGGCTTTCCTGGGCAGCCTGGTCAAGTAGGACCTCCCGGACCACCTGGAAAAACCGGAGAACCAGGTAACTCAACTGATACTAAAAACCTAGGTTTAAAATATTAGCCAGTTTACTAAACTCTTATTAGGGGCTTTTGCACCGGGTGGTTAAAGGAACTCATTATAAGAAGTAGCCACTTAGGTCAGTAGCCCCTCACTTCAGAACACAAGATCCAGGGGGCGTGGTTGGATCCACATCTAGGGAGTGGAGATGGGTAGGTTTAGGGGTGGAAATGGGTGGATTTAGGGATCAGGGGGTGGAGACGGGTAGGTTTAGGTATATGTAAGGTGGGAGGAGTTGGATCTGGATCCAACCACACCCCCTGGATCTTGTGTTCTGCAGTGAGGACCATCTCACTTAGTTGGTCCCCCGAGAATTAAATTTTCCCCTTGGGCCATTTTTCTGGTTGCATTCACATTGCCAGTAGGAACTCTGAAGTGACGTAAGCTGGCCGACAGCAACATAATTTAAGTGCTGCATTCAACAACTTCAACATCTGGAGGATGAAGGAGTCCCTGGACTTTGATGTCGGTCCATTTATCAGTGTTTTCCATGTTCGTTGAGTTAGTTTGTGGAGTGACTGTGTTTGCATTTTTTTTTTT